CCCCAAAACCCCAAAACCCCAAAACCCCATTGGATAGAAATCGGAAAATTGCATGAATAAAATTAATTTATCTATCAATAGATTATATTATTCTTTGCATATACTAAAGAGCGAATAATTTTTTAATGCTATAAACTAATTATCAAAATGGATTCAAACATGTAAATGCTCGGAAGAAATTTGCCCAAGACTCATCAGTTTTAGTTCCAAACTATAGCTAATGTGGCAACAGCATTGAACAAAAATTTTCTTAACAAATTCAACAAAAAAGGTAATGAGCCCCCAAAGAAGCATGAAATGTTAAGCCAAAAAAGAGAGAAATCTGATTATGATTCATTTGTGGACTATCTTGATGATGAAATCAATGAAAATTTTGAAGAAAATACAAGGACTACAACGAAAGGTAATTAGGGGAAGTAAGATACTGAAACAATCAATCAACCATTTTTCGAGTCAAGATTAAGGTGAACTGCTCTTGCTCAGGTAGAGTCAGTTCAGAGATTTGTAGAGTATCAAAGAAAATAATTCGGCTGTGTAGTAATAATGGACAGATAAGTGAGAAATGAACTTGTAGAAAAATAAATAGAATAGTTTTTGAATCAAAGAGAAGACTTTATTCCTCAGGCAAGTAGTATATTTTCACTAAAGCTACCTTTACCAGAGCATGATGATAATGAAAATAACTTTAGAAATCACTTAACAATTAGACAAGATTCATTTAGAAAGCAAAACTCAAGTCGTCAACAGTAACAGAATTTGAATTGAATGAACAGTATATTAAGTTAGCACAATGCCCAAAAATAAGATGATGCTGACAAGCTAGTTTAAAGAGTAGAGGAGATGGCTGCTATGAAAGCTTAAATTATGGAGGATTAAGCAAGAGAAGACCCTCAATAATTCTTTGAATCGCTATTTAAGAAAAAAATAGAAGATTATAAACATGGAACTTCAAAGTAAAATTCACTTTCACAAGCGTAAATAGAAAATAAAACACTCTAAGAGAAATTAAAAAAGTAAGTTGAGGAAATGATAGAGCTAAAGAAGTAAAAGTCAATTTTAAGTGCAGTTGGGGGCTAAGATAACACTAGCAAGTCTAATGTTAGTCGAAATAACAAAGAAACTGATACCTTCTCTGAATCAATGTCCAGAAAATTAAAATCACCTACTAAAAAAGCATAAAATGATCAATCATCTTATAGGCCAAAGAGTTCAATGGACCCTAATTTGTAGCAAAAATTTTCCACTGCGATGGATGGAAAAATAAAGAATTAAACAATGATGAATTTAAGTCAAAGGTCATTTAACCCTTAATAGTCTAATAGTAATAGCAATCAAGCATCGTCATTTATTAAGACTAATTAGAATGATCATGAAAAATTAGTTCCTCCCCATTCACCTCATTTAAAGTCAGTTGGTCTCGCTGTAATTTCAGGTAATAAATTAATGGCTCAACATGCTCTCGAATTAAATCCTCATCTCGACCATTAAACAAAATATAAATCTTTTAATAACCCAAAGGCACTTTCTCAAATATCTTTCAACCCTGAGTCTAAGAACAATTCTAATGTTAATAAAATGCGTCAAAGCTTAATGGATTTCAGTAAAAAGTAGCTATCTAAACAAGAAAAGCAACTTCTTTCACCGAAGAAAAGATAGAGAAAAATGTCAACCACTTCAAACCTTCAATTGAATGTGTCCAGACTTTCTAGAGATCCAGAAACGCCTAAAATCAAATTAACCTAACCAGATAAGAGCGTTCTTAACCTTAGCCATAATGATGATCCAAATTCTGATAGTTTTAGTAGTGATAACGACAATGATAACTCTGTAAGAAATAGTGATATGGAGTTAAAATATCCTAGTGGCTTAACTTAAAACATAAGCTAGTAGAATACAAACAGAATGTCACTTTTCCATAAACAAAGAAGTAATGAAAAGAAAAATTCTAATGAAATAGAGAATCACAATCATAATTATAATTAGAATGATTAGTTTAGCAGGAACAACAACAACAATTATGATGGCTAGAATAATTATAGTTATGCCCTCAGTCAGAGTAACTAGAATGATAGATAAAAGCCAAATCAGACTTCAGGATTTTTCCCAGCCAATAAATACGATGATAGGAATCATGCTCCATTACCTCCCTCTAGGAACAACGGGTTAAATAGCAAAAAGAACAGTAATGAAAACCATAAGTATCAAAGTCATGGGCATAAAAATCATCATAGCATCAGCAATTAGAACTACAATTAGGACAATCACTATTACCAAAGTAGTAGCAGACATAACCTCAATCCTAACAATGGCAATCACAGTCATGTTAGAAGGGGATCACATCAAAACTAATCTGGCCACCTGCTTGGTCAATATTAGTCTCCTCCATAGTATCAAAGTTCCAGTTAGCCCTACAGCACAGTTTTATCTTCTAGATTAGGACTTAGATCTGATCAAGTAGAATATGATAGATGGCAGTAGAAGGAAATGCAAAAGCAAAACTATGATAACTATTTCTTGTAAAAGTATCTAAACAAATAAAAGGCTTCGGAGTACTCTCACTATAGGCCTACATTCAATATGTGAGTGGAACTCAATTATTGATGAGAATGCTTTTAAGTACTATTTATGAAAAGGTGTTATGATTATTTGAGCAACTATCTGTGCGTGCTTAGTAATGATTATTGAAAAAACTGAACAAGATAGCTACTTGACTATATATAGTAAATATAGAATGTAGTGTATATTTCAAAACTTCAAATGAAAATTTACATATTCATTGCATCATTTAGTATTAATTTTTTAATCTTAACATTTTTATTACCCCTTGTTTTGCCTATTGGTTTCTTGGGGTTTTGGGGTTTTGGGGTTTTGGGGTTTTGGGGTTTTGGGGTTTT